TTCTGGAGCTGTACTCGATAGAGTGATACAGAGACTTCGGGCTGGACTTGACCAGGAACACATTCGACATCTCTGTGTTACTGTACAGAACTGAGGAAACAGCTCATCCATTAGTCATCAGGCTTCTGTGTGTAACATGTCATTTACTAGTCATTATATTAGGAGACTATGGAAAGCTTGACTCTGATTGGCTGATCTGATTGATTCACACCAAATGTGATTATTTTTATTAGAGTCGGGTAAATTTTGCAATTAATGTGTGTGTGTGAGTGTGTGTGTGTGTGTGTGTTATATTTGCTTATTATGTATATGTAATACACACATACTTAAAAATATATATACAACTTTGTTGCATGGGTTTTCTAAATTTATTTATAAATTGTGTCATATACATATATATTATACTTCTAAATATAAATAAACATTTTCTCAAATACATGCATGCAGTATATATCTACAAATAAATCAGTATATATTCATTTACTGATTCATTCGTGGATATATACTGCATGCATATATTTGAGAAAATGTTTATTTTCTCTAATATATGAACAAGCAAGAACGTGAGAAAGCGACTGAACGAATGTATGAATGAATGAGACAGGTGCAGCATGAGTGTGTACCGGTACCGGTTCCGTCGGTGTGTGTGTGTGTATTGAGCAGCTGCAGCCCCACACACGCAGACAGCAGACGCTCCGTCCCGTCCACACTGGTGCTCAGAGCTGCAGAAACCTGACCAGCAGACAGACACGCAGACTGCAGGAGCTCAAACACACCCAGCTCACAGGCGGAGAACAGAGTCTGAAGAACACACACACAGCAGTCCTCAGATCAGCAGATGTTTTATTTTTCAGGATTCAGAGAACTCATTTGAAATAATTTCAATGCATTTAAATGCATCTCGAGTCTGAACAAAATCAATATCTTTTTATCCTGTATCAGTTTAGACAAAGACAGAAGCAGAACATCTGTGCTCATTACTGACATCTAACCATGATCAAGTCCTCGTATTACACAGATTTCTGAAGATCATGAACACTTCAGACTGCAGTGATGATGCTGAAAATGCAGCTTTAAATCTCAAGTATAAATTACACTTCACAACATATTCACACAAAAATCTGCTCTAATAAACTCTAAAAATATATCAGATCTTTTAGCGTATGTTTGATTAAATGAAGCCAGCCGGTGTAGATGTGATGTACCTTGGACACCAGGAACCCCTCCATGTATTCGAGGATCTTTTTGGGGTACAGCTCCGCTTCTTCTGCCATGTTTTTCTGTGTGTTCACAGTGATTGTTCGTCTGCGTGTGAAAGTCTGAGCGCAGGCTTTAACTCAGAGACATAAGCAGATTACAGAGATTACACACTCCAGATTGATGCACTCTGAGCAGCTTTAACCCAGACCTTCAGATCAGGTTTAATTATAATGAACGAATGAATCAATAAATGGATGAACGATTCAGCAAACTGCAGATCTAAACACAAACACCATCATGAGCATGACCAAGTGTGACAGAGCATTCAAGACAGAATTAATTCATCTCAGAGCTTATACAGTGCTCGATTCGGATTGGCTGATGGGCATTCTAAGGTGTGTTGTCATTTGCATATAATTTTGACAGAATCGGAGAAAGTTTTTCAAAGCTTTAAGACAATTGAACCAATTGATTTGTAAACTGATTCACTGATTCAAAGCATTCAAAACACCTAGATAGCATTAGTTTGGGTGCAGTACCAGACATGACCACCAGGTTTACATTCAGTTTCCATTACGGCTGATTTATACTTCTGCATGCGCAGGCTACGGCATGTGGACCCTCGTTGTGGCTGTCAGCAATGCTGACGCGCACCTCTCAAAAATATAACTACACATCGCAACGACGCATAGAGCAAGCTGTGATTGGTCAGCTTGGTAGCGATGACGAGAGTAGGCGGAGGTGAGAGCCGCGCGAGGCTGATGCAGCGAGTGTTTACAAATGTGGAGTCTCGTGAAGGAGACTGTTCATTTGTGTTTATCTTATGCTGTGTTCACACCAGACGCAGAACGTGCGGACTTTATTCTCACTATTCTCACGTAAATAGACGGGTGAACATTTAAGTTTACTCATTTAATTCGCGCGTCAAAGTCACTTCAGAACAGATCAAGGGCAGGGCTTCTGTCTGCCCGGTGACTGTAGCTTAATTGCTAAACGGCTAACATAAATTTTATTGAGTAGATGTGTTTATGTGCTTTATGAAGGCTAAAAAACGGCGTTGATAGAAACTTAACCTGGATGATGGCGGCTTGCAGCGGTGCTTCAGACTGAGCCGAGCCCAGTTTGAAGAACTGTTGTCGGTGTAGGCAGTAGGATTTTCCCCCGGAAAACCAACAATAGGCGCTATGTCACAATCACGCCCATACATGAGCAAGCTCCTGATTGGTTGATGTAGAGCGAATGTCCGCTGAAGTTCAGATTTTCGAACTCGAGCAAATCGCGCAATTTGCGGGTTAAGCGCGTCAAACGCGCAAAACGATCAATTCGTGCTGCGCAATTTGCATCATTCGCGCCGCGCCATTCACACGTATCGCGCAGCAAGATCTGTATTTGCATCGTTGCATTGACTTAACATGTTCATCACTTACGCTTGATGCTTCTTCCATGTCTGGTGTGAATTAACATTATGATTATAGTTGTTGCATGTCCGCCGGTTCCCGCCTCAAAATGAGCGAATTTGAGCTACTTGTACATTAAGGATGTGTTCAGAAAAAACAAAACGCCAGCGAAGAAACTCAACACAGAGGAACATAAACACCTCACTGCCAGCTAGTGTTACAGAAGTGTATTGCAGGGCAACAGAAACAGCACGCAGAAGAATAAATGCACAGCAATGGGTCACGCCGATCACTTGATGCAGAGGTATAAACCAGGCTTTAGTGATCATACAAGGGCATCCCCTGTTCCTGTCATGTAAGTAGAAATAAAGGGCTCTATTTTAACAATCCAGTCTGCAGCTCAGGGCATGACGCATTTAGGGCATGTCTGAATACACTGGTCTAACAGGGCTGTGCTGATTCTCATGATGAGTTGTGGTTGTACTTTGAGCATAACGTGCATTAAACCAATCAGAGTCTCGTCTCTCATTGCTTTTAAGGCTGTACTCACACTAGGTAGTTGCCTCGAACCGTGCAAAAGAACGCTTGTCCCCCCTCCCGTCTCCCCTGATGGCCCGCACTCACATACAATCGGGCCTCAGCACGCTTACGTCATCACTGCTGCGCTGTTCAGTGAGAAGTGCTCTCTCGATTTCTCTAGTGGAGATTTCTCTAGTTATATCGTGTCAGTCGTTTGATATGCAGTGACATGCAGTCAAATATTTCGCCAAACAGTCCTTAGGGATGCGGGGACACGCAGTCAGATATTTTACCGGACAGATCCGCCACTTTTGACACTCATAAACAATCATTAAGCTCTCGTGCTGCAGGAATGAGGAGGTCTGCTGAAGGCGCGCAGCTGACGTGCAGTGAGGAGTTTGCGTCTTTAATAAACTACGGCAGTTTGCGTTCACTGAACAGTAAGAATGATTAATAAATCCATATGAAACAGTGCCTTAAAAGTCACGTCTCGCTTTCAGTTTCGGGCTTTGGCGCATTTTGCTCTCACACACAAGTGTACCGCGCCAAAGCCCAAGTGAACCGCGCTCAGGCCCACCTCTTCCAACTAGGCCAGGGTCAGCCAAGTGAACCGTGCTTGAGCCCGATTTAGCGCACTCACACTTCTCAAACGATCCGGGAAACGGGTCTGGGCACAGTACGGATGGCATAGTGCGAGTACGCCCTAAGAATCAGTTGAGTCACTCCATGGCACATTTGCTATTTACATGGCGGCTTTGTAAGAGTTAAAACTGAACGCTTCACTAGCGAGAACACCATTAAACAAAGAATCTGCAGCGCAAGGATAAAGAACCAGCCTCCTCCATTCGGCCTCTTTACTTTACTTCTTTACTTTGGTGGATTGAGGAAACGGTGGAAACTCACTCCACTGAACACATCCATCAGCCCACATATTTAATCTCCTTTGTTAAACACAAAGATTTGCTTCAAAACTATTTCTAAATTCAGTTCTGATCTCCAGCAAAGGAATAAATGAGCAATAATAATAATAAAGTGTGCTCAGAAAACTGAGTTATATCCAAACACACGTCCTGCTCTTATTGCCCATATGCTGATACAGATGCCTCCAAAACCCCACAGCTGGACACACCTACACTTGTGTTTATTAAATATAAACAAAATAAAATAAAAATTGGTCTATTGCACAGTCTATTTCAGTTCCTCAGAATAGCAACGCACCAACAATGCACCTTTACACACCTCCCATGAGTCCACAATGCGACACAAATGAATTTGCTATTTGAACAAGGCGTAAAATGGGAAAATTATGATTGTGCTGGCCTGAAAATTGAGTCGGGTGTATGACAGGGCCCAAAAATTCTATAATACTACGGGCAGTTTGGTGGTGTTTGAGTTGAATTTAGTCTCAAAAAACATTAACATGTAGATTGCTGTAGCACAGTAATGCTTCACGACTCTAATGACTATCCTGGTCACAAATTAATAACTGCTGCTCAGTAATATCTATCAAGAATCAGTCACCAGATAAGGAAATTAGACATTTTAGGCTTTCAAATGAGAGTTTGTCATGATTGCTTGAAGTTTAGACTATAGTATTATGCTTTAATATACCCGCAAATGACTTCACAGCTTGAAGAGTGACAGTAAATGTGTTTTAATCTCTTACTCTTCCTACAAAACCAAAAAGATAAATCATGCAACATGTAATCAGAAGTTAAACCTTATAGTTATAGATGATAGATAGACCTTATAGTAATATAGAGGTTGTCATGATTAGATTAGAATTTCATTGCAGTATAGTGAAGTAAACTTAAGCGTCAGTCTATCGGGATGATGAGAGTTAATGAGTAAAAGCAGAGAAATAAAGAAGAGTGTATCAGCTGCTGTGTTCAGAGCTCTGCTTTATTGAGTTTAAAAGAATAACAAGCGTCTATATGATGACCGCACATCTGCAGCTTTAACTTGTTACCCATTAGGCAAACAACACTTTTATAAGAGGTGTGTGTGTGTGTCAGCAGTGTGTGAATATCTCCAGCCTCTAATGCTCAACATGAGTAGATTGTGTTTGTTAGAATCAGACTTGATGAAATATTCTCTCTGTACATGTCATTAGAGGGGGAAAGTCCCGCCCACAAGTGCCCATCTCTCCTTCTCATTAGCATAAACAACAGCCCTGAGTGAGAAGCAGCCGTCTGTCCATTAGCCATTAGAGTGTTTGAGCTGCTGAAGATGATGTCAGCATAGACTCAGAGGATTATAGATGTGGAGTTTTAGATGAACAGCAACATAGACTGACAGAAGCACACATGCACACCTGACCAGCACTGACCACACACACACTGCTGTTTCACATCTGTCGCTATGCTCATGCATATGCATCTGTAGCTCCGCCCTCTTCTGAAAAGAGCACAATCTCATTCGCATTTAAAGCGACAGTCACCAAAACACCACAATTAGGATCAAAGCCTGAAAGTCTGTGTGCTGTTCTCAGCTCAAACTTCACTACACAATCTAGAGACAGCAGAGACGCATTTACAGCTTGTAAAGGAGGCAGAATGGGTCTCCTTTAAATAAAGCATTTTTCTGGTGTTGAGGAAAATGAGTCCTCACTCAGAGGTGACGCTTGGCTCTTGCAAACACTGCACAGAGATATTAAAAATAAAAACTCGTTAAACTCAAGTCTTCAGGTCTGTGGTTTAGTAACACTGAATGAAACATTAGCACAGATAAGAGAGATTCAGTCTCTGTGTTTGTTTGTTTATTTGTTTTCTGTCAGATCACACAGCATCACGGTCCTAAACACACGTAATCAGAGAGGAAGATAAATACGCTCTCCTTAAGCCAGAATAAAGCCTTACATTACAGATTTTATTTAGGAGTCTATTTATTTATTTTCTCTTTACAATTAATCTGATTTTTCAACTAGAGCTTAACTCAAATAAACCCCTAATAAAAACTGTAATTCAATATCAGGCTTTGTGTTCTTTATGAAAATAATAATAATAATTTCCTAAGAATAATAGTAAAAAAAAAAATAGATCTACTTAAAAGATCAAAATCTGCTGAGACAACAAAACTAATTACATATGAAGAGTTCAGATGCAAAAACGTTGTTGTGAAGTCTGAAATGTCCATTGAAAATGAACATTTTTCTCAGCCTCCTTTTTTTATGTTGAGTATTTCACTTTAAAGACCAGGAAAATGACCTAATCTTTGCCATAAAAGTGATATTACTGAACATACACACAGGAACCTGATAAAAATGCTCATTTTTAGAGGAACATTTCAGACACCAATTAAAGGGTTTTGCAACTCCTCATACATGTGTATATATATATATATATACACATATTCTAGAAAAAAAACAGGCATCTATTTTCTTGGAAAAAATAATAATTAAAACAAGCTGAAAAAACTAAATGAATACGTTCTGCAACATTCGCGGACACAAGACAGGCATGAATTTCTGAAAGGGTCAGTTCACCCATAATTTATCCGCAAAAAGACTTTAAAATCTATTAATTTCTTTGTTTGAACAAAGTACTTTGAAGAATTCTGGGAGTTTGGGGTATTTTTGGGTCAACTCCAAGTAAAGTTACTGAAGTTTGCCCTGCTTGTTGCGTTCTTTTTAGGAACTTCTTTGGTTTGGTGCGTCAATCCTATTAAAGCTATTATTCAAAAAATTTGCACTCAATTGCTTCGTACTGTTTTTATTTTCTTACATTTTACGGGTGATTAAAAGACACAGACATTTCGGCACAAAGCCTCAGTGTGTCCAACTCCAAGTAAGAAATAATAGTTTTTTAAATATGTAATTGAGTAATTAATAGAGTTTTCATTGAGAATGTGAGATCTATTATTTGGTCCTTCATATCTGTTTATTTTCATTTTGTTCAGCAAAGAAAATTCCTCTTTTTTCATGTTTTAGGATCATAAATATAGAGAATGAGCAAATGTGCATTTCTGCATGAACTGAGCCTTTAAGAAAACATAAACAAAATACCAGAGTGAACGGGCTTATTCTCCTGATCTGCTCTTTCTGCTGATGTGTGTGCTGTGTGTGTCTTTTTCTGTATGCATTTGTGTGTGAGTCTCTTTCTGTACATGTGTGTGTTGTTGTGTGTCTCTCTCTCTGTATCTGTGTTTTGTGTCAGTTTTTCCTGGTGGTGTGTGTGTGTCTGCGTCTGCCTCTGCTGGTGGAGCGGCTGCGGCTCCGGCTGCTGCTCTGGCCGTGGCTGTGTGTGCTGCGCCGCCGCCGCCGGCTGCGTGTGTGTGTGCGACTGCGGCTCCTCCTGCTGCGCTCCGCTCTCGTCTTCTTCTGCTGTGTCTTGCTCTGCTGCTGCTCCTCCTTCAGAGCGTGCGTGTCATCGTCTCTCTGTGCGTGTGTGTTGTTCTTGAGCAGGTTGTCGAGCAGGCGTTGGCGCAGCTCTCTCTCTCTCCGCTGCAGCTCCAGCGCTCTGCTTTTCTCCTGCTCCACACGCCGCAGCTCCTGCTCCTGCTCACGCCGCCGCTGCTGCAGCTGCTGCAGACGCACACACTCCACCTGCTGCTCGCGCTCACGCTCGCGCTGCACACACACAAAAGAAACAAAAAGACACAAATACACACACAACCATTAATAAAATGAACAACATGGAACAAATTACTAAGGGTGTCACGATCCTCCAAATCCTCGATTCGATTACATTTTCGATTCTAAAGGCACGATTCGATTTTCGATTATGAATAATTAATTAATTAATGACCAATTAATGATTTGTAGCCTACCGTTTAAACTACCTGACCTGCATGGTCTTTGTTTTACCCATAAACAAATCATACAGTAAATGAATAAAGGCAAGATACACACATAATTACCACCTGTCAATCACTTTTTCTGCGGGACTCGTGAATAGGCAGTGATCTGTGTCGTTATAATGGCGTCGGTAAAAAAGACGCACAACCAACAGGAACCAGCCAACAGTATCTGAGGTGTTCGCTAAAATGACGAAGTACCAGTGAGTGAAAGATTGAAGCAGTCCTCTGACTGCCTGGACCTGCTGTCTCGAGCGCATGGCTGTGTGTGCGTCTGTGTGTGTGTGGTCACGTGATGTGCATTTTCAGAGGTAGAGAGGAAGGAGGGCTGCTCAGAAATGCTACACGCCACTGTGGATGTCAAATCGTTGTCGTTCTAAAATGCCATTTAAAAACAAAGACAGTGTAAACAGGGCCTGAGTGTGTACTTTTCACGAGCGGATTTGCAACGGGGGCGGGCGGAGGATCGCAATGCCGGTGTTGTCTATCGGACGAACCGTACGTAATACATACATAGCAGAGCTTGCAAAACTGTGTTTTTTTTTTTTGTCGACAACACAAACGTTGACAACATAACTCACTGGAAATCCAAAATGCTCACACACCGGCGACTTCATTGAAAGAGGAGAGGGTTTAAGTTCTGTCGACGGGTCTCCTGCTTCTGCAGTTTAACAAGCACTTCAACAAGCCGGTTTTTCCCGCTTAGCAAGCCAAGCTGACGTGACATGGGGGCGTGGCAGCATCGACGATTCTATTTTTGGATTCGATAATCGAAATTGAGCATAAATTTCGATCGATTTCCATTAAAAATCGAAATTGTGACACCCCTAGTAATTACATCCAGTTAAATGTCTAAAACTGATGCTCGTGTGTGTATTTATGGACATTTTGTCTTATCTATGAACTAAAAGACTCCACTATACCTACTGCTGACTGTCTCTGCCGTCTGAATCATACATTCAGCTTCAAATAATCTGCTTAAATTTTTATCTTTCTTTCATCTTTACTGCACTAAGTAGTATAGTGTTCAATTCAATTCAATTCAGCTTTATTTGTATACAGGGTTCTGACACCTTTTCCAACTTCAAATTCCAGCAATTTTCAAGAACTTTCAAGGTGCATTTTTATGCTTTTCCAGCACCTAATAACCATGGTTAATTACGTTATATATGTTGTATGTACGTTTTCACATTTAAGTCCATTGTGCTATTTTAAAAAACACAATATGATATTTCAACTTAAATCGTTGAGTACTATAGAGCATAGATTTATTGGGATAGTTCACCCAAAAATTGTAAAAAAAATAAATAAAAATGATTCAGTTATTGGATGAAGTATGCTTTTTTAAGTTTGGTCTCTTTCTAACTAAAGTGAGTATCTCAAAAAATGAGCTTACAGTCAGATTTCGTTTGGATGTAGAACCAAACTTTCATGACCATTCGTTATTTTTTAGTCATTGGATTGGCGTTTGAGGTGCAAAGATGCATTCTGGGTGAATGTCTCCTAAATACACATGAAGCTAACATTGCCAAAACAATCTGAATTTGAATCATGTTAATTTGAATTCTTAAAAACTTAAAACTCAATTTTTACATAACCAATGTCTGCAGTTTTTGAATTCAGAATAAATAGTTTAAAAATATGTCTATAACAATTGGAATTAAAAAATTAAGTTGTCTTAAGTTTCAGATGTTCAATAATCAAGTTAAGAAATACAAATTCCAAATATTTCTAATAGGACATAATCAGTATTATTAACTTACAAGAGCTGTTCTCATCTGCAAACGCCGAGTTTCGGATTTGCTTGTAGTCTCCTCTTCATAAAGACGCGGCTCTAGTTGCTGGTGATTGTCCTGTCTCTACAGATTTGGTAAGTGAGTGGCCAGTGCTCTTTGTTTATTCAGTTTGTTCGTATCGAACTAAGTTAACTATTGCACCAAGTGTAAACATGTTAGCACCACAACCAAACTTTAACCTCGTTTAGGGTTTTCACCAAATTTTGTGACCGGAATAACACACGCGGCTTTCTGACACTACCTGCCGTGTGCATTTAAGTTTCCGGGAAATGCTGAGGGTTTTTTTTCTCTCATTCGCCGTGCGGTATCAAACATTGCATGAAAAATACACACTTATAGCAGCTCCTCGAATCAAATATCTCGTTTGTCGCGAGGGGCATGAATGAATTCCCTGAATGAAAGAGCCAAACTGCACTTAAAGTCCAACATTTAATCATTTGGCAAATAATTCCACTACAGATTTTCATTTAAACACAATCACTTTCTCCCCTGTGTGTGTGTATGTATATGTGTGTGTGTGTGTGTGTGTGTGTGTGTGTATTTTGACTCTGAAACTCGCGCATGCCCAAATAGACACTCCCACACCAAGCCTCTTTTCTTCCTCCGACACTCCCCCCTAAACAGAGCTGGACACGCCCACTTTTCTGACTTTTTCCAAAGTAGAGGTGTGAAAACACCCTGCTGAAACGAGGGGGTTTCATGGCCCTTTAATAATTCAATTTAACGCAATTCATATTCAGATTTTTTTGGCTGATTATTAGCTCCATAAATACGGGCATGCGGTAACCAATTTGCAATGAAAACTGGCCGCATGACAACAATTTATGCACTCGCACATATGCTCCCAAATATATTTTGAGGTCACATAGATAAAATCGTGTGTATATGCAACCAAAACAGTCACAATTTCGAGACCTGCAAATTCAAATTCAAGCAGGTTCAATCACTTTGTCCAAAATCCAAGCACTTTACTAACCTTGAAAACACTTTATTAAAAATCAAGCATTTTTTCAGGATTTCCAGCACCCGTAAGAACCCTGTGTACAGCGCTTTTACAATGTATATTGTGTCAAAGCAGCTTCACATAAATGGTCATAGTAACTGGATCAGGGTAGTTCAGTTTTTAGTGTTTAAGTTCAGTTCAGTTTAGCTCCGTTCAGTGTTGTGTGTTGTGTGCGAGTTTGTTTGTGTGTGTCTGTTTGTGTATACACATATACAGTGGCCAATTGTTACCAATCTTCATTGATTTCACATTCCACCAGTAAGAGCAGAGTGTGCTGAAGCTTTAGTATGTACAGTGATTGATCAGTCTGGTGCAGTTCCTCCTGAGTCCGGCATCAGCTGGTGTAGTGATTGTCAGACAGGAGTCCTGCAGAGGGATTGTGAGCGGTTCTTCTTCAGAATAGTGTTCAGGTCACTACTGATGCTGCTGGAGGAAAACCTTTCCTGACTCACTCCTCCAAAACAGCCCAAACTGCTCAATAATGTTTAGCTCTGGGTACTGTGCAGGCCATGGGAGATGTTCAACTTCACTTAAATGTTAATCAAACCACTCCTGTCCTGCTGTGTGTATCACTGCATCATCATCCTCCTGATAAACACCACCGCCTTCAGGATTTAGTGACTGAACCATGGTCCTCCAGAATGGTTGGGTAGTCCTTGGAAGTGACCCAGCGCCCATCTAGCACCAGTGTTGGGCCTAGGGAATGCCATGATTTTGAGCCCAAACCATCACTGATCCCCCCACGCTTGACTCTGGGCATCAGCAGTCTGGGTGGGCGCTCCTGTGGGGCTTCTCCACACCGTAACTCTCCCGGATGTGGGAAAGACAGTGAAGCTGGATCATCAGAGAACAGCACATGCTCCACACCGTCCACAGCTCCAGATCTCCAGCGCTGCTCCACTGAAGCCGGCGTTCGGCGTGGGCAGGAGTGAGCAGAGGTTTGGGTCATGTATACTGACCCGGTGGAGCTCCAGAGCAGCAGTTCTGCTGGACACAGGAGAGTGGAGCTGCACATGTCATTCTGCAGTGAGTCGGGCCGCTGTGCTCTCATGTGTTCTGGGTAAATCAGGGTTATCAGCCGGAAGGCACTTTTAGATAGCTCCTCCTGCTGGACGTGCTTCTTCCTCTTGGTGGTTTGCTGGCATTACTCTGGACACCGCAGCTCTTGATCATCACACACACCTGATGTCTCGCTCACAGATGCGCTAGTGAGAGACACACCAACAATCTGTCCTCTTCTAAACTCTGATACGACCCTATAATGTTGTGTTGTGTGCAGTATTGAAGCAGAACTGTGCTGATCCTCAGCTGATGAACCCTTCACTCTGCTCTTACTGCTGGAGTGAAGATTGAACACCAGGCGGAGCACATGCAGCCATCAAACCCTCAACACTAAACAGCCTAGTGTTTCATTGTCCAACCCCTGTATGTGTATATATGTATATATGTATGTATATGTGTGTATGTGTTGTGAATTCTTCCCCTTTAAATTTAGGACTTGTCTTTTACGTAACGTTTACGTAAAGGACGTAAGGACTTATGTAAAAGACATAGTGCAATGCCTACATTATAGACGCTTTTAGCGTAACTGCGTATTCACTAAGTTAGTCGGCAGCATGTCAGTCAGACAGCGTGCGCTTGCTCGGAGACCGCATTATGTACAAGAGAAAGTAGTTGACAAAGTAAGTTTCTCTTACATATGTTATTGATGACTTTGATTATTATAGTATATATAAGGGTAGTAACTGATATTGTGGTGATGTTCCTAACATTTAGCGATCGCTGGGTGTAATTTGATCCTCCTTAACGAGCGGCTTAGACACACTAGTGTGCATCCGCTCATGTTTACAGTCTCAGTATATTAATATGTGTAATGGTTCATGTTGATAATAGCCATTTGTGATCATTATTACTAATGTCTTTGTTAAGGATAATTTTAGTTAATTATATAACTTTTATATCATTATTTAGTATTATTCATTGCACACTGTGTACTGTTGTTTTTGCAGAGATCATTTTTCAGTCTATGTTAACGTTACGTGTCAGTACACTATACTAGTTGTTTATTTGTAGATTGTGGTATGTTGAATCATTGGATACACTTTTGTAATTATTTGTTGTTATTTATTTTCAGAAACTACCTCAAATACACTGACAAGTGTATATGGTCAAATCTTATTCAATAAATGGTCAAACTGAATATGATGACTCCGACTCTCTGACAAGAGTACTGCAGCGGTTAATAACGATTCACTAGCATTCAGTGGGAATATCCCCAATAGTATGCATGTATGTGTGTGTGTCTGACCTTGGCTCTGCTCAGCAGCTCCGCCAGTAGCCGTATGGACTGCAGGTTCCTCTGGGCGAGCAGCAGTTTCCTCTCCTCCATCTGGATCTTCAGCTGCAGCTTCTTCTGCTCTTCCTCCTGCTGTTTCTTCATCTTCTTCTGCTCCTCCTCCTGCTGCTTCTTCAGCTTCTTCTGGTTCTTCTTCTCCTCTTTCTCCTTCAGCTTCTGCTCTCTCCTGCGCAGCTTCTCCTCCCGCCGCCGCTCCTTCTCCTGCTCCTCCTGCTCGCGCTGCTTTCTGGACCACACAAACACTCATTCATTATTTATTTGAACGATATTAGGGGACATCCACACAGAACATGCTTTCCATTCCAATGCTTTACTGTTTAATTGTTTTCAATGTAAACATCAGGCTTGTGTTGGCTTTAGATTTTCTTGTTGTGATTATTTGCTGAAGCTTTTATTGTGATATACACATTTATTACGATATTCAATCTTAAGTGCAAAAGATGTCCATCCATCGAACACCTACACCAACCCTAAACCCAACCTCACAGCTGATAACATCTACACCAACAACAACTTTTAAACTATGACTAGTGATCTGGGGTCTGTTCTTCATACCTCGCTTAAATGATCTAAGATAATTTGGCAGATCCTGGATCTGTTCATCTTGATAACTGATCTCTGGCTAATTTGGTTCTTCAAACAAGTTCAGGAATTAGATTAAAGTGTCTGGATGAACTGATCTGAGATCACTGTGTGTGTTGTGAAGGACAGATCTATCGATCCTAAATCATGATCAGCAATGCAACGATTGGCTGACGGCACAGCAGAGTAATGACATCATCTGATTAATATTCAATTATCCATATGAGCAAAATGACATAAAATTAGCAGTAGGGCTTGTTAAATATGACATGCAAATTACTTTCCACATAAGCTGCAGGCTTTACACCAGGGATGGCCAATCCTGTTCCTCGAGAGCTACCTTCCTGCAAATTTCAGTTGCTACCCATATCAAACACACCTGAACCAATTAATTAGGACCTGAACACCACGTGATAATTACAGGCTGGTGTGTTGATTATAGGTTGCAACTGAAATCTGCAGGTAGGTAGCTCTCTAGGAACAGGATTGGCCATCCTTGCTTTACACTTTTATGTGTCGAGAGCATTCATCATGTATTTCAATGCATATCAATGTATTTAATTCTACATTTAGAGAAGATTTTCGTTAATATAGCAGCATATAGGCGTACTCAAGTTTTTTTTTTTTAATCGGCGTTAGGAATAACTGTATAAATAAACTTTGTTTCAAAAAAGCATTTTTATATTGGTAATTGTGTCTGTAACTTTTGCGAAGCATCAATTGATGATTTAAATTGATTTAAATCATTGGTATAGCGGTCAAAACATGGGCATGACAGCATAAATTATTACCATTTTAAAAAAACAAAGTTGAATATTGTGCATGTATGCGTTTGTAACTAAAAAGTTCATATCAATAAATGTTCTCTTTAAACCACCAGGTGGCAGTCTTTGTACTTTATTTCAGAGTGCAGATTGCATAAGTTATATTAATATATATGTTTTACTTATATAAATAAATAAATAAATAAATATATATATATATATATATATATATATATATATATATATATATATAGTTAAAAAATTATATTTACTATTTCCCCAAGCATATATAACTACTACTGAAAGAAAACATCAGCACTCGGTACATACTTTCAGTATTATCTTTGCTTGAAATTACCTGATCTAATCCTGTCTATATGAATGATCCTGCTCCCGATCAGGTTTGAGCTACCAGAACTGTTGCTATGACAACAACTCTCAGATCAGTTTTGATGATGAAACGATTCTGGATCATGTCAAATCGTCAATATCCAAATCCAGCTAACTGAGTAATCCACCTACGAAGAACAGATCCCAGATTGCAATTACGATTTTGGTTATTATTAGGGCCAGACGGTAGAGATGCGCGGTTCGCGGTTATAGCCGCGGACTCCGCGGATCGGGCGGATGACGTTACGAAAAAATAATATTTTAATTAAATTCGGGCGGGTGGTGGGTGGTTGTACTGTTTTTATATTCATAGCTGGCGCACCAACGAAAAAGCCTAGGACTGACTTTACAGAATGGGAGGAGGAATCGGATACACTAATTCTGGATGAAGTGTACAGAAGTATTCCTCTACAAACTTCCGTATAGACGGATCAGCAGAGGAAAATCTACTTTCCTTTTGGGAGAAATAAGGCCAGGCATTCCCACGACTACAGCACCTTTCCAAGAGAATTCTATGCATTTCAGGAACAAGTGCTGTGAGCGAGCGCTCCTTCAGTGCAGCAGGGCGCATTATAGTGGCTATGCAGGCGCTCCCGTCTGAATCCTGACACTGTAGAGGCTATTTTATTCCTGCATTGTGCCAAGAAAAAAATCAAACTAGACCTAAGGTCAGGCATATTAAACCAATTAGCCTATGTTATTTAGGCTACACATATGTTCAATATAAACTTTTGAGTTCGGTCAGCTGATAATTTTACGTTCATATTGGTTCAGCCTATTCTATTCTAGACATGTTGGCCTCGCTTTTACGTTCCGAGGCTAAGGTTATTTTGCCAGAATTTCTTTGTCGCAAATTTAATGGCGTAGTATTTCGTTATGCTTCAAGTTTGAGGGGAATGGGGATGATCCTAAGTCCATGGGTTATTGGGGCACTTGTCATACATGCACTTTAGCCTGGTCAGGTTCGCTCAAAGAGGAATGGCATATCTGTTTTTCTAATTTAATTTCTAATTGTGGGGGTGACTGAGCCTACAAGGCTTAGGCACGATATGACGTTTTTATTAAAAATTTTTCAACTGTTTGCCAAAGCATGCGACTATAGCCTATGCCTACATTAAGATATTTATGTTAATATTTTTTTTACTGCCTGTTGTTTCTTTTGGCATATAAAATAGGTATTGTCTGATAGAGATATCAATAAAGGTTCATCTGTGTCGCAGAACTGTGTTGTTTCCGATTTCTACAAGCTCAATAACATCCACAGCAAAAAATTAAAAATAGTCGAAAAACTGTGCCATTAATTAATTATTATACACATCTAATTCATTAATTAGATGTGGAAGGCAAGCAGGTACGTTTTTGGGGTTGCTATGGACAACTACAAATGTAAACATTATTAGGCTATAATGTAAATGACTTATTATTCTATCTATTTACTAAAAAATAACGTGAAATAGGCATTTAGTAGTAGGCTAAATAGCAGCATGGTGAAATGATGTGTCAATGCGTTTTCTATTAGGCTACAATAAAAAAAAAGTTGTACAGTACAGTGCGTTTAATTTAGGCTATTTATTTACTTTTGTCTCTGTGCGCCGATTGGAGACAGAGTTCACTGCTGATATTCTGAGAGCTCGGGTGCTTCTCATTTCTTATTTGTGCATCCTCGTTTCCTTTCCTTGCTTTCTTTCCTCGTGTTTCCACCCCACCGGGATAACGTTACGAGGGAAGGACGCAAGGAAAAGACTGAAGAACCGAGGAATCAAATCAAGTGAAAAGACACGTCCTTGTATCTTTAGCGTCACTTCAAAGCGTTGTCAATTAACGACTTGCACGTTTGGATTAACTGCATGTCTACATTAAAGTCATTCTCTATTATACAATGATCAATAAAGAAACATTCATTTAATAATAAAAAGGAATAAGCCATTCAAATAAAGAGCCCAATCAGCAGATGGCGGGCGGGTGCAGTTTTAAAAATTGGTCAAAAATGTTACTGCGGATGGATGGCGGACGGATGATGAATTTTGTCATGCGGTTGCGGATGAAATAATAGCCCATCCGCGCATCTCTACCAGACGGAATCTGCGTTTTGCCATTTTTTGCGGAGAATTTTGGTAAAAATCTGCGGATTTCTGCGGAATTATTTTGGGAGCATCATAACTTAAAGCTTAATATATGAAATAAAAAAAATAGTAATATATTTTGAACTTTTATTTAATGTTTCAAATGCAAATCCTATTAGAATTTTTTAAATTGGTAACCAAAGCAAGTCTCTCATATAATTTCGCTACTAAAAGACAGAAAATATGACAGTACAAACTGCATTGTACATAAATCAGATGAATGTTTTCCATATTAGTTAATAATATTACTGTAATTAATTTAAAAACTAAATGAATAAATATAGATTTACACACATTTACACAACTAAATAAACGGAATTAATAATGGGCTAAAAATCTGTGGAAATTTGCGGAATTCTGCAAGCTTAGATTAGTTTCGCGCCTAGGAGGGGTTTGGGAAAAAACTGAACATCACTGAACAGTTCATATGGGAGTCGCTGGGATAATTAGGTAAAAGTAAATGCAGATTATAAGACCATGAAAGTGATTTTTGACCTTGCATGAATATTAGACTGCTGTTGGAGACCCTTACAACCAAAATATGACCCTATTTCATGTATAATAGGGGCTCTTTAATAATAATAATGACTGTTATTTTTGTTTGTGGCACCTCTCCTCCTCTTTGCGTCGCTCTTCGTCCTCCTTCTCTCTGCGTTTCTGCTCTTCTCGTTGTTTCTCCAGCTCCTGTAGCTTCTGCCGCTCCTGCTGTCGCTTCTTCAGGGATGATTCGCTCAGGTGTTTTGTCGTGTCAAACGTCACCTTAAAGAAGAAATAAACGCTACAATAACTAACCTACAGCTTCATGCTTACTGCAGAAGAATGAATAGTTTATCAGTCCAATAATTGTCTGATTAAAATCCCTTTCATATTATTATTGTTATGAATTATAATTATTGTTGGGTTTTAAATACACTGTATTATTTAACATATACTGAACATACATTTATGCACAGAAAATTCTGAATTAATTTAAAATATTATAATATTCTGATCATAACAGTTACAAGAGTATGAAATCTTGTAATATTTGATCAAAATTCTAATACTTTTCCAGGTGAAACCTCATTAAAAATATTAATTTCTGTACATCAGAGAACGATATTTCTAAAGCAGGCCATGCTAATAATGAATACTTCTAATTGACGTACAGTCTAATAGAGATTCAGCCCAGCAGTCCAGACTGATGGAGATCAGAGACTCTAATCCTCTGCTCAATAATCCTGAAGTCATGATGATACAGCAGAGACTCTCATTTATTAAACACTCATTAACTCAAGCCGCTGCACTCCACTGACGAACCACTTAATTAAAGCTGCAATATAATGAAAATCCTGATATACCTATGCATAGCTGAATAATAAGAGTTCAGTACATGGAAATGCGATTGTTTACTAGTTCTCATGCATAGATATTTACTTTAGATGTTGCCTATGCTATTGCTGTCTATTGAAAAGAATGCTTCAATATAGCTGCCATACTGGTACAGGGTAGCGCTCCCTTGAAAAGAATGTAGGACCAAGGTGCAGCGGTGGACTGGCTATCCGGAGCCATAGATATACACACATGTATACACATATCTATGATCGGGAGTTTGCCTGGAGGTCAGTAATGCTAATATTTGACATCACTGTTCTACATTGATGGATAAGTGACGGCACAGGCTTTTAGGGGAATTTAGGGTAATGACTGGCTATTATCTCTTACTGATATAATCACCATTTTTCAAATCAAGATTTCAGATTAAAAGCGTTTAATCGCGCAAGCCTATGAGGAATGTAGCAGAGCAGTGTGTCTGACCTTTATGCTGCAGGCCACCGCCTTCCCATCATCCCCCCTGAACAGCAGCTTCATGCCCCGCAGCGCCTCCATGGCCTTCAGGAAGCCGGTGTGGTCCACGTACTGCACGAACGCCTCGAAGTTCAGGTGTCCGCCGAAGGAGAAGGTGCTGAAGTGGTTCCCACTCATGTCCTCTCGGTACGGGTCCAGCATGGGGATGTCCACGTTCCGGATCTGTCCGAATTTCTCAAACACTGTTTTCAGCACGGCCTCTGATGGCCTGTCCGGTGATCCATCCTTCTGCGCAAACCATTTACAGGGCAAACCCTCCAGACGCACCGTATCCGGACGCTCGCCCGGCACCGTCTCATTCATGTCCTTCGCGTCCCGGAAGAATGAGTCCCAGTCGTGGCGTGTTGGGAAGTCCACTTTATTCTCTGCCGTCCGCACCTGAGAAGCAGGGCAGAAGTTTAGCAAATGTAGAATTTATTTATTTAGTCTGCAGCACTCATGTGTCGAGTGATTGGCTGTTCATGTGCAAGCGCTGCAGTTCATCACTAATCATGGAATAAGCCATAACCTCTACAAAATAACCAGCGCATAACCAAAACATAAGCTGTACATAACCAGAGCATAACCTGAACATAACCAGAGCATAACCTGTACATAACCAGAGCATTACTTGAACATATCCAAAGCATAACCTGCACATAACTTGAACATAACCAGAGCATAACCAGCGCATAAGCTGAACAAAACCAGAGCATAACCTGAACATAACCAGAGCATTACTTGAACATATCCAAAGCATAACCTGCACATAACTTGAACATAACCAGAGCATAACCAGAGCATTACCTGAACATAACCAGAGCATAACCTGTACATAACTTAAACATAACCAGAGCATAACCTGTACATAACTTAAACATAACCAGAGCATAACCTGTACATAACTTAAACATAACCAGAGCATAACCTGTACATAACTTAAACATAACCAAAGAATAACCTGAACATAACCAGAGCATAACCTGAACATAAGCAAAGCATAACCAGAGCATAATCTGAACGTTTCAAGAGCATAACCAGAGCCTAATCTGAACATAACCAGAGCACATAACCTTAACAAAACCTGATCATAACCAGAGCAAAACCTGAACATAACCAGAGCATAACCAGAACATAACCTGAACATAACCAGAGCCTAATCTGAACATAACCAGGGGGGTATTCCAGAAAGCTGGGTTAACTTACCATCTGCTAAAACCTAAACTCTCGGTTGATTTACCCAAAACCTGCTTACCGCGAGTATGTTGGTTCCAAAACAGGTGACAAGAGTTAGTTAAATCAACCTCCTGAAGATAACCGCGGGTTAATGCGCGTGCACGGCACACACCTGAAGGCATTTTCAGTAGATCGCCGAATTCACGAGTCACCATAGAAAGTCACGGTGAGAAAAAAAGGGCAACGCACTTTACAGAGGCGAAGCTGGAGGTTTTAAACACAGAGATTACACATCTGCTTAAACGAAGGAAAGAAATATAGAATAAGAAATAGATAAGAAAATAAAAAATAAATAATAAGAAAGTTTGTTTGTTCATTAAATTACACATGCCACCCTCCATTTTATTGTAATGATAAATTAAACTACTCTTTAACATCCTTTTTGAGTATGTTGTGTAGCCATTCATGCATTTATTTTTCTTGCCATTCATTTCTTAAGGCCACAATATGTGTATTGACTAATAAGGCTTATAGAAATTGTAATCTTTCTGGAGCTAGAACTCTGTCCAAAGTCATTAAACACAGAAACATTATCATAAAAGGTAATATTTAATTACTGGAGCTCTTTATTTAACACTCTAGAATATTCTTTCTGACATGCAGGTAATAGAAAGAGGCCTGTCTAACTGCTGTGTCCTATAATAAAGGCTCATCAGTGGTTGAGTTTTTGACTTACACCACACACTCTGTCACTGTTGTAAGTGATTGTTGTCAGATAGCTTTAGGTTCTTTTTATTTTGCATGCAGACGAAGTTCCTTCTGCCTCAACTAACAAGCAATTTTTTGCACTTTTCCATATTTGAATATTACTCTTGGATCACAAAATCTTTTATCTACATATTTAAATTCTAAAGTAGCTGTATAAGGTCCATCTTCAAAGATAAAGTCACATGAGCATCAGGTGAGAAATATCTATGAAAAATATGTTACACGTTGAAAGGTGTGTGTATAAAGCAGTGTACAAAATCATTCATTTTATTTCAGGAAATGAAGAAATGAACAGACCAAACTATTTGATTAAAAATAGCTTTTTGACTAATTATATATTTTTAGCACTCTTCCATTTCTTTTGTCTGCTCGGGTCACTGAGATTTCCTCTGGGTCAGGCTGCAGGTACGTGTCATCGTATAAGGCAGAAAAGGGTATCTTTTGTCCTCCAGCAAGAAACAATGTAGTGCCCAGTAATGATTCTATTTTATAATACAAACATAATAAAAATAAACATTGTGTTAAGCAACATTTGCTTTATATATTTTTTACTATATTTGTGTTATACACTTGAATCATTACTTCCTGAAAATCAGCCATTTAGCCTCAACATAGTGATGAGGTGGGGTGTGTGATGAGCTGGTAAGTGGAAGCAGTAATGAGTTTAATAGTTGAAACACCAAAAGATTAAGGATAGAAAATTAAGTTGTACCTGCACACTTATACTTTGGACAAATGTTATATTATCAGTGTCCTTTAGTGACTGATGGAGCTTTAAAATCGGCTGCAATTAATGCACACAATAGCATTTAGAAACCCTGAAAAAAATATTATATTAAAAAATGTAGGTGTGTGTGCGTGAATGTATATATAAGAACGACGTCCTACATCTTAAATTATAGATATATTTTCCTACAAAAGACAAAGCTGCCACTTATAATATTATACAGAAAAATGTGAGGGTGCAGAAGGAGAGAAAAAACACAAGATCTGTAAGTGAGATTCGAACTCGCTCCGTTGTGCGCTCCGTTGTTCTTTATGGATGCACTGTCCACTACGCTATTCCCGTACTCTGAATCATCTGTGTAATGATACGCAGTAATCTATGACCAAGGAACTGTACAAAAGTGTAAACAGTTCAGTGCCAGGCATACTGTACAGGTGGTTCTACTGCCACATTGTACAGTTGCCTAAAATGCCCTGACGCGAATACAAAGAGCTGCACTGAATGTTTTTTATGGTAAGCCCAGACCCGCGGTTTGTCACATTTGATTTCAAAAAGGTTTGTTAAATACATTAACATTATGAATTTGGTTATGAATAAAACTATGCACTTATAATCCTCTTACAACGAAAAAACTTGTATTTGTGTGTCCACATCCATAAATATTCTCATCAAAAGAGCATGCAATGCTCAGTAAACTCTCTGAAACAGACAAACTCTAAAACATAGCAACTTACTCTCTGAACATAACCTGCTCCGGAGCAGCTCATCTTCAGAGAGTAAGTTGCTATGGCTACTTAACATACCCAGAAGTTACCTCCGATTTTGGAACCAAAGTTGAGGTTATCCACCTACTTAATCTCAAACTTACCCGTGTATGTCACATAACCTGCTTTCTGGAACAGCCCCCAGAGCATAAGCAGAGCATAACCTGAACATAACCAGAGCACAACCATAGCATAACCTAAACATAACCAGAATATAACCATAGCATAACCTAAACATAACCAGAATATAACCAGAGCATAACCTGAACATAACCAGAGCACAACCATAGCATAACCTAAACATAACCAGAGCACAACCAGAGCATAACCTGAACATAACCAGAATATAACCAGACCATAACCTGAACATAACCTGAGCATAACCAGACCATAACCTGAACATAACCAAACATGTCCTGAACATAACCATAGCGTAATCTGAACATAACTTCAACAAAATCTCAGTGTTACCTTCATGTATACTGAACCATTAGGCCAATCTTAGTAACACATATCCTTTCTCATGTCTTTATTATTATTAATAATGTTGAAAGTTTAAAGGATTACACTATATTATGACCTAGGTGTCATCCCTTTTCAAAGTAAAACTGGAAATAATATGCGTGTCTTTGCTTTTTCTGTATGCCATGTTTTTTGTTTCCTCAGGATCTTCAGGCCCTTCGATGAGGTCAAGGAGACCTCTCATGTGGAACTGGACGTTTGATGCTACTTGAACAGCTGTCACTAGATGTCAACATTACTGAGAGTTAAAGAATACATTATTTTAAGATTATTTTGTAATCTTTCAGCTATCTGCCAGTGGAAAGTGTTTATTGTACCATTCTGATACGATGCCTGCAAGAGAGCAAAACATCCTTGAAGTAGATAAGTCATCTTTGTGTATGTGTGCTCTTGGTGGAGACATGATGATGAGCTGAATTTCACTTCTGATAATCCTGACCACAGAAATATCCTCCTGTTATGTCTGACTTTTATAAGCTTGACGCCCAAGTAATCATTGGAGATAATGTTCAGAATTGTACGCACACACACACACACTCATGTGGAAATTTTCTAAGTCTATCTGTGTTTTAACCAGGTTAAAAGGTTTAAAAAAATCTGGTTAAACACCTGCATGTGTGACGCAGTTGGTGACATATGTTAAGAGTATAGTTATTTGTAATTTGTTAATTTGAGATATACATGGGAGTAGGGCTGTAAGAATACACCAAACCCATGATTCGGTTCGTATCACAATTTTTGACCCACGATTTGGTTCGTATCAAGATTTTTTTTTTCGTGTGGGGTGGGAAAAAAAGATTTTTAAAACTATTTTTATTAAATAACATTTGAAAAATCTTTATAAACTAAACATTAAAGAACAATATTAACTATGCAAATTATTAACAATATAAATAGCCATATATTAAATAAATAAATAGCCAAAGCTATATCACTTTTGTTTTCTTTGTAACAAAATACTGTTAAAAAACCAAACAAAACTAAACTCCATTGTGTAGATGGTTCAGGCATGTTGAAAATTCTTTTTCAATCAAGTTCTCTTACATAGAAAAAGTAAATTAAATAGCTACTAGGGATGCTCATTTCGGTTAATTTTGCTAACGGACAACCGCCGCGCATTAATCGGTTATTAACGGTTAACTGGTCAGATTACTATTAATTTTATATTAAACAAATTGACGCGTCTATTTTGTGTCTGACACAATAAATATTGCATTTAATGCTACTGATTTATTTTTAAATGTTAGCATATTAATAACAGAACAGAACAACAGAGCATCTTCACGCACCTGCAGTGTTTAGCACAGAAGAGCAGAATAATCTAAATAAAATAAATAGGACTGCCCTAAATTATTTTCATATAAATAATTAATTTATATTACAAAACGAAAATACTGACTGATTCTTTTTAACAACCGGCATAGGCTGTTTTTTCTAATCATGTTTTTTCTTCTGTGAAAAAAATAAATAATAAATAAAAAAAAATAATTTAAAAAAAAAAAAAAAAAAAAAAAAAAATCGCAGACTTCCTCAAATCGCTCGCTCCACGGAAAATATGCATTTATTTAATGCCCCGCTGTTATTATTATAATCACAAAACCTTTTACATTTTTAATAGAAATCATTATTTTAAAGTTTATGTCCTGATGGTTTCCTCTCTCTCCCTCGCTGTTCAGGTGCGCGCGCTGCATGATGAAAAGACAACAACAACAACGCGCGGCCGCGCGCATATGTTGACTTTTTGTAAACAGTTTTGTCGTTTAAATATGCTATTGCATTAATGTGCATACATGCTTTATAAACCGAAAACAAGGCTCATCTCACTGAATTATGTTGACAAGGAAAAAAGAAGAGGCACGGTCCTCTTATGAAACGACTGAATCAGCTGGGTATCGATTGTGCATAAGTGTTGCTGCCTGTGTTGTTACAATTGTAATATTTAATACTATTGTGATATTCAAGATTTGTACATTCATACAGCTCTGGATAACTTAAAACAGCGATGAGACCTTCAGAGCGGCATTAATGCGTCCTGAAGTAAAGCGAAACGGCTACAAACTCCAGCAAGATAGAGTGATTATATACAGAGTCATATACCTTTATCTATAAATAAAGTATAACTATAGAAACTGTGTTCATCTTAACTGAAAGCTTCGTCCTGTTTCCTGGCCTCACGCATCGCGCACCTGTCAGTCAGCACGTAACGTTAACTCCCAAAGGGTTCAACAGAAAGCGCACAGCACGGTTACAGAAAAGTTTCCTCTGCAGAGAAGTCGGGGCATCTGGTGAACGCCCATCCCTCTCTGCGCAGCCACATTAACAACAATGCTTTGACAGCACTGGAAATGTTTCTGCCGTTGTCTGTTGTCAAGCGGGGTTAAGTTGGTTTCGTTTTTGATAATCCTGACACATTCAGACGGTCCCTTACTAAGAGCTTCGTGCCAGCTCTCCCGGCTAAACGCTTATTGTGAGGGCTTTAACGGAGCAGTGCTCGTAATGTCGAGCGAAAAAAAGTGTTTCCTCACGTTCTTCTTCAACTAGCTCAACTTTTGCAGGCACGCGTGACGTTATTGGAAAGGTAGTCACGGGGTGTGTCGCGATTCTCCCTTATCACACCGCGACTAAGGATCGTAGATCTGAGTGTCGCGATTTCGATTTCATATCGTGTATCGTTACAGCAGTGTTGAAGATTGTTTCTGCTGATGTAACTGCAAACTATCTTCAGTAAACTTTCTTTAGGGACGTTCTCGCACTATGTACAGTTGCCTCGAACCGGGCCAAAGCACGCTTGTCCCCCCTCCCATCTCCCCTAACTGAATCCTTGACTCTGGATCTTCTTCAGACACCACTCAGTTATGGGTTAAAACTGCTTGTTTCCTTAAATTCCATTATTGCTGCAAACTAAACTGAATTTTAACAGGCTAATGGCTAATCCGGCTCATTTAACGGTCCGTTTTTTTTTTTTAAAGGCCATCGTGCCCAGCCCATAACCAGAGAATAACCCAAACACAACCTCAAAAAAACCCAAGTGTAACCAGAGCAAAACCTGAACATAACAGGAGCATATTCAAAATATAACCTGAACATAACCTCAACATAACCAGAGCACAACCTGAACATAATCAATGCATTTGCTGAACATAACAACAGCATAACTTCAACATAGCCAGAGCATAACCTCTAACCCTAACCCTAACTTGAATATAATTAATGCATATGCTGAACATAATCTGAACAAAACCAAAGCATAACCTCAACATAAAGAAAGAATAACCTGGGGGGTATTCCAGAAAGCTGGGTTAACTTACCATCTGCTAAAACCTAAACTCTCGGTTAATTTACCCAAAACCTGCTTACCGCGAGTATGTTGGTTCCAAAACAGGTGACAAGAGTTAGTTAAATTAACCTCCTGAAGATAACCGCGGGTTAATGCGCGTGCACGGCACACACCTGAAGGCATTTTCAGTAGATCGCCGAATTCACGAGTCACCATTAGGGTTGTAACGGTATGAATTTTTTACGGTATGATAATCGTCTAAAACAATACCACGGTTTGACGGTTTCGCGGTATACGGTATGTTACAAATGTTACAAAATAATACAACAGTGAAGCAAATTTGACTTTTTCCAAATAATATATTTTCAGTTACTATAAACAACACCACTTACAATGAACAAATAAAAAAAAAGAAAATAATAAATAATGTGTCAAAGTCCAAATAAAGTCCAAATAAACTATATTTATCTATATTTATATACTTTAAATAGTTACATAATGAAACTAGATTCAATATGGAACATCCTTAGGTTTTATGTGCCAGCATGGATATGGTTGTCTGTGGATATGGATTTGGATATGGTTGTCTGCAATGCAGACAAGCAGCTGCACCTTCATTTGCGTCTTTTGAAAACAGCAAGAGCAGCAGTTCGTCTTTGCTGTGTCACTGTTTTGTCATGTTTCTGTGCTGCTGTGCATGCAAAAGTACTTAGTATGAGAATTATTTCATGCAAAACTTTTTTTTTTGCGTTTTATTTAGCCGCGCATAAATGTATGCCTTTCTCTCATTCAGTGTTGTTCAAAAAGCTCATGTTGGTCCACAAACAAAAGCGAAACCTATGCTTATTGGTTGTGATATAGCGAGTTTGAACCAATCTGGGCATGGAGGAGGGACATTGCATCAATGTATCATGTCTGATTTGTCCGGAGACACAGTGACGAGCGTTTCTTTGTCAAATCAGCGTTGTCAAATTTTGATGATGTAATCGCACTGATTCCGGAGCCTCTGAAAGTCCGCGAATGTTGAAAAATAAATGCATGAATGGTTACACAACATACTCAAAAAGGATGTTAAAGAGTAGTTTAATTTATCATTACAATAAAATGGAGGGTGGCATGTGTAATTTAATGAACTAATAAATTTTCTTATTATTTATTTTTATTTTCTTATCTATTTCTTATTCTATATTTCTTTCCTTCTTTGAAGCAGATGTGTAATCTCTGTGATTAAAACCTCCAGCTCTGCCTCTGTAAAGTGCGTTGCCCTTTTTTTCTCACCGTGACTTTCTATGGTGACTCGTGAATTCGGCGATCTACTGAAAATGCCTTCAGGTGTGTGCCGTGCACGCGCATTAACCCGCGGTTATCTTCAGGAGGTTAATTTAACTAACTCTTGTCACCTGTTTTGGAACCAACATACTCGCGGTAAGCAGGTTTTGGGTAAATTAACCGAGAGTTTAGGTTTTAGCAGATGGTAAGTTAACCTATCTTTCTGGAATACCCCTCTGAACAGAACTAAAACATAACCTGAATATAACAAGAGAATAACCTGAACATAACTAGAGCATAACCTGAACAAAACTAAAACATAACCTGAACATAACCAGAGCATAACCTGAACATAACAAGAGAATAACCTGAACATAACTAGAGCATAACCTGAACAGAACTAAAACATAACCTGAACATAACTAGAGCATAACCTGAATATAACAAGAGAATAACCTGAACATAACTAGAGCATAACCTGAACAGAACTAAAACATAATCTGAACATAACTAGAGCATAACCTGAATATAACAAGAGAATAACCTGAACAGAGAACAGAACTAAAACATAACCTGAACATAACTAGAGAATAACCTGAATAGAACTAAAACATAACCTGAATATAATTAGAGCATAACCCGAACAGAACTAAAACATAACCTGAACATAACTAGAGCATAATCTGAACATTACCTCAACAAAAAACTGAACATAAACAAAAACATAACCTCAACATAGTCAGAACATAACCTGAATATAACCAAACATGACCTGAACAAAACCAGAATACAACCTCAACATAACCAATTCATAACCTGAGCATAATCAGAACAAAACCTTAAAATAACCAGAGCTCAACCTCAACAAAAAATGAACATGACCAACAAATAACCAGAAAAATACCTTAACATAACCTGGACATAACCAGAGCATGACCTCAACAAAATAATTACAGCGTTACCTTCATGTATAACTAAATGCAGGTTTAGCAAACTAGGTTTAGCTGTCACCTTGAGCGTGTCGGTGAATCCGCTGAGCTTGATGCTCTTTCCCTCGAGCCGGCTGAGGATGCGTTTGACAGCACTGCGGGTCTCCACCTCTCCCTCGAAGCGGATGAAGTCCATGGTGCTCTTGGAGATGCGCAGGGCAGAGAACTGCTCCGGCTGCACCATGGCCTTCAGACGCTCCATCACCTCCCAGTTGGAGATGGACTTGCCGGGCAGCTTGAGGTGCGGCAGAGCCACGCTGATGGTCAGTCTGGAGATGGGCTTTAGGTACAGATGATGCTGTGGACACAGATCCAGAGCCTCTGCTGCGTCGCTCACTACAGACGCCATTACGGCTGGCACACGCTACAGGCAGCACTGCAAGACCAGGGAAAACACAATAACATCACAATCAGCCATTACAAAAATAAATCAATCATGTCACCATGTGATCTCCTGGCTAAATAAAGGAAATGATAATAATAATAATAATAATAATAATGGGGGAATTGATCAACTAAACTGTCCGTAATGTAAGATTGTGTGTGATGGATGCTGGAATAGTTGGCGGTTCCTTCTGCTCGGGCGATCCCTGATGAACAAAAGGACTAAGCCGAAGCAAAATGAACGAAAGGATCCTTACATTTTTAATGAAACATTTTATTTGCTTTTTGTTTCTCAACATTTAAACAAACAAACAAACGGTTACGTTAAAATTAGAGATGACGGCTCGGCTGAAGGCATTGGCCCCAACATTCCCATCATCTCCCTCTGTTCTCAGATAGGATGGTGGGCCAAATCAAAGGTTATCATGGGCCCTAGTTTGGGCATCTCTGGCGTAAATAAACAGAAAACTACCAATAACTCGCCCAATAAAGATAATCCTTAATTAAAGGACGACTTAAAATGACTATTATAAGAATTAAACATGCGGATACATACTTTAATATGGCATTAACGCTCATCAAACAACACTGATCTGCATGTTAATAAGTAGTTATATTAATTTGTGCACATAAATACAGTGGGAGAATGCTGCTTTATTTGAATTAAAGATGACTGAGTTCAGTTCTTCTGTGTGGATTTTCTCTGTTGTTTACAGCTGTGGAAGTAAACTCGACTCCTTTACTCGTGTAAAGCGTCATTAACGCGGGTAAAAGCGACACCGCTCGGGTTATCTCTGGTTAACTAGTTCAACATATTCTTTACCGCTGTTTTAATCAATTATAGTATTAAATAAACCATCACTAACCTGTCTAAAGCGATGTAACGGCGCTCCGCTCAACCGAAACAAACGGACATGGTGCGCACCACTTCCGCATACGTCACTGCGACCTGAATGGCTATGCAGGAGTTCTGCTGCCGCCACTGGAACTGGAGCATCATTTCACTCCGTTCTTTCAATCGTGAATAAAAATAAATAAATAAATAAATAATTGATATAAAGTTATCAGACTCACAGAGTTTCTAAAATAATAAATACATAAAATAAGTGTAAATAAAATAAAATGGTAGCAAATTAAAATAAATATGATTATATTTGTGTGAATATTTATTATTTAATGCAGGGGTCACCGACCCTGTTCCTGGAGAGCTGCCTTCCTGAACATTTCAGTTGCAACCCTGACCAAACACACCTGTTTGTAATCATCAAGTGCTGCTTTAGGTACTATTAATTGGTTCAGGTGTGTGTTTGATCGGGGTTGGGACTGAATTCTGCAGGAAGGTAGGCAGCTCTCCAGGAACAGGGTTGGTGACCCCTGATTTAATGTCTGTTTTTATGAACGAAATTGAGTACAAAAAAGATCTTAGTCTGAATTTGAGTTAATAGATGAAACATATTTATTAATGTTGGGTAAAAGCCCTCAGACGTCAATAAACAAAATAATTAAAATAAATAAAATTATATATTAAAAGTAAAAAAAAAAAAAAAGTCGGAATTAAACAAATAGTTCCCTGAGCCTCTTTACACCTCTTTATAATGGAGGATCAGTGACATAAAAATGACATTTCATAAATCTATGCGCAGATGATAAAGATACTCTCAGGCCACGATGCCAAAATCCCAAACACATACTTTTAAATGAAACATTCATTCATTCATTTTCTTTTTGGCTCAGTCTCTTTATTTATCAGGTGTCGCCACAGTGGAATGAACTGGCAACTTATCCAGCATATGTTTTACGCAGTGGATGCCCTTTCAGGTGCAACCCATCACTGGGAAACACCCATACACACTCATTCTCACACACACACACACACACTCATAAACTACGGCCAGTGTAGTTGATCAGTTCCCCTATAGCGCATGTGTTTGGACTGTGGGGGAAACCGGAGCACCCGGAGGAAACCCACGCCAACACGAGGAGAACATGCTAACTCCACAAAGAAACACCAACTGACCCAGGCAAGACTTGAACCAGTGACCTTCTTGCTGTGAGGCGAGAGTGCTAACCATTGCGCCACCGTGATGCCCCCAATTAAAACATTTATTTTTTTAAATAATAAAAATGGAGTAAAAATTGTTTTTAATTTTAAATAATTTATAATAGGTTAATTATTGTCTGGGAAAACTCTTCTCGGGTCACTAAATAAATAAAATAAAAAATAGAAGTTCAATTGTGTGGAAAACAACAGACATTCAAATTAATGATCCATCACATAAAACGAAATCAGTGATGCTACTCTCAGAAGTTTTGCTTTATTTTGTTTTATAAATCAAATTCATTCATTCATTTTCTTCTCTGCTTAGTCCCTTTATTAATCAACTATTTCAGCATATGTTTTACACAGTACAACCCAACACTGGGAAACATTAAATTAAATTAAATTATAAAAAAGTAATAAAATAAAACAAACAAATAAAATTAAATAACAATAAAATAAATTTTTGAACTAATTAAATTAAATTAAAAACATAACATAAAATAACATTAAAAATTATTAAATTAAACACATTAATTAAATTTATTTAATTTATAATCAATTAAATTACATTTAAAATAATTACAAAATAACATAAAATAACATATAATATTAAATAAATTAAATCAAATTAAACAATCAAATAAAATAAAAAAATAAAATAAAATAAAATAAAATAAAATAAATAAATTAATAAATTAAGTAAATTAAATTAAATTAAATTATTTTAATTTAATTTAATTTAATTTAATTTAATTTAATTTAATTTAATTTAATTTAATTTAATTTAATTTAATTTAATTTAATTTAATTTAAATTAGTGGAGTTTGTTCTCCCCGTGTTGGTGTGTGTTTCCACCGGGTGCTCCGGTTTCCCCCACAGTCCAAACACATGCGCTATAGGGGAACTGATCAACTAAACTGTCTGTAGTGTATGAGTGTGTGTGTGAATAAGTGTTTATGGGTGTTTCCCAGTGATGGGTTGTGGCTGGAAGGGCACACGCTGCGTAAAACATATGCTGGATAAGTTGTTGGTTCCTTCCGCTGTGGCGACCCCTGATAATTAAAGGGACTAAACCCTAAAAGTTTGCATGTTCTCCTCGTGTTGGCGTGGGTTTCCGCGTGGGGAATTGATTAACTAAATTAGTCGTAGTTCATGAGTGTGTGTGTGTGTGTGTGTGTGTGTGTGTGTGTGTGTGTGTGTGTGTGTGTGTGTGTGTGTGTGTGTGTGTGTGTGTGTGTGTGTGAATGAGTGTGTATGGGTGTTTCCCTGTACTTCCTTGTACTAAAACTTATGCTGGAATAGTTGGAGGTTCATTCCACTGTGGCAATCCTTAATAAGTAAAGGGACTAAGCTGAAAGAAAATTAATGAATTAAATATAAAAATGTAATTAAATTAAATGTATCACTAAAATAAAAAAAAATTAATAAAATAATAAACTAAATTAAAAGTAATTTTAAAATAAAAATAAATAATTTTAATTAATTAACTAATTTAATTTTAAAATTAAATTAAGCTGATGAACATTTAAAACCCAGAAACTTCTTTACACACATTTAGCTTTATGAGGTCTGATGATGTAGAAATAAAACATTCTCAAACTTCCTGAACTTTGCCCAGCTCTGGAAACAATGATAATCTCCAGTAAATCTCTAAACCACAAACACAAAGAGCTGCAGATCATAATAAACCTCTCACTGATGGAGAAACCTGCACACAGAAAACACACAACCCTCACAAACACAAAGTCAATACAGAGTCAAAGAGCTCATATTTATACCCAACACATGCTTTTAGTGATGTAAATGAGGTGATCTGATTCAGGCTTCCAGTCAAACACAACAAATGAGCATCACTATACAGCACAGAATATTACTGCACGTCTCATATTTACATTATTGCATTTGTCATAGTCTTATAATCTCCTGTGTTCAGGATCACAAACATGTTCAATCTGACAGTGTTTATTCACTTATTTATTCATATTTGACAGTGCAAATCCTGCTCCAGTATCATCAGCCAGCCAGATTCATCTCTTACAGTGCAATAAAGTCATCTGGGAAGCACATTAAGTGAAGGATATGATTATGATTATCACGGGTCTGCTGCTGAATATCATGAGCTCATGCAAAAACACCTCTCAGTGCTGAAAGCGCTGTATTTATTTGCTGTCACAGTTCAGTTTGTTTTTCTTCAGCTTAGTCCCTTATTAATCAGAGGTCGCCACGGCGGAATGAACCACCAACTATTCCAGCATATGTTTTACACAGCGGATGCTCTTTCAGCTGCAACCCAGTACTGGGAAACACCCATTCACACACACTCAAACACTACGGCCAGTTTAGTTGATCAATTCCCCTATAGCGCATGTGTTTGGACTGTGGGGGAAACCGGAGCACCCGGAGGAAACCCACGCCAACACGGGGAGAACATGCAAACTCTACACAGGAACGCCAACTGACCCAGCCGAGACTCAAACCAGCGAACTTCTTGCAGTGAGGCCACAGTGCTAACCATTAAGCCACTGTGTATGTGTGTGTGTGTGAAAATTATACAATTACACACTTACTGAGTCAAGTGTGTGTGTGTGTGTGTGAGAGAGAGAGTGAGTGTATTCGTGAGTGCGTGCATGTGTTTGTATTGGTGTGTATAGTTTTTCTGTGTGTGTAGTTTGTGTGTGTGTGTCTCTGTAAGCGTGCATGTGTAGTGTGTTTGTGTGTCAATGTGTCTGTAGTGTGCATTTTGTCTGTGTGTGTGTGTGCAATATGCATATTTGTGTCTCTCTGTGTCTGTGTGGGTCTGAGAGTGTATTCATGAGTGTGTGCATGTGTGTATAGTATTTCTGTGTGTGTAGTGTGTGTGTGTCTTTTTAAGCGTGCATGTGTAGTGTGTTTGTGTGTCAATGTGTGTGTAGTGTGCATTTTTTCTGTGTGTGTGTGTGTGTGCAATATGCATGTTTGTGTCTCTGTGTTTGTGTCTCTCTGTGTTTGTGTGTGTGAGTGTGTGTGTGTGTGTGTGTGTGTGTGTGTTTGAGAAGTTGACTGCATCTCCTAAATGTCCATCAATAATGTATCGGCGGCAGCAGCTGGTGAAGCTCTGCTGATATTTAAGAGCCGCATCAGTGAACAGTCAAAACTCCACACATCAAAGACAACAGGACATCAAAGCCAACAGGACATCACCTAGCAACCACTAACAGACACCATAGTAACTGCGGAACAACAGCAAACACACTTCAGATCATCTTCAGGGAATGTAAACACAGATCTGGGTTTAATAGTCTGTCAATATACATCGCTTTCATTACAGATGATGACACATTTTAATTTCAAATATTTCTACAAATTTTCATCAACACATTTTTAATCATAACAGTTCATCATTTATAGTAACTGATTAACTTTATCTTCGTCATGATGACAGCACATAATATTAGACTAGATGTTCTTCAAGACACTAGTGTTCAGCTTACAGTGACATGTAAAGGCTTCACTAGGGTAATCAGGGTAAAGTTAGGGTAATTAAGCAAGTCATTGTATAACAGTGGTTTGTTCTGGAGACAATCCAACACTAATATTGCAGTTTTATTTTTGCTAAAATGGTTTTAAAACAACTAAAAACTGCTTTTATTCTAGCCCAAATAAAATAATTAAGACTTTCTCCAGAAGAACAAATATTACAGGAAACACAGTGAACAATTCCTGAATCTGTTCAACATCATTTGGAAAATATTTGAAGAAGAAATTAATTTTGTCTATTTGTGTATAATGTTTTGTATTATTATTATTCATTTACCGGTGCCTAAAATGAACATTTCTCTCTCAGGCACATTGAGGAATTTGGGATTACTACAGTAATTAA